AGGAGCTCTTTGGGAAATCAGCTGGACAGGGGCACCTGCGATTCCTTCATCTAATGGGCTTCAGTTCGTAGAAATCTACATCATGGAAAGGCAACACGTTTAGGAAATGATTTATAGGGATTTATAGGAGTTCGTGTTTGGGAACAGCTGAAGAGAATTGACTAGTAGGTTTGCGATCCCTACCAGTGTTTAGAAAATCTGTAGAAAATTAAGCAAGTGTCAGACGTGGGATTTCCAGGTCAGGTAGCTGCTGTGGTGCAGTCATACAAGCTCTACAGTGACCACATTGGGAGTACCATTAATTTTGGTCACACAAGGAAGAGGACTATGACAGCAAGTAGATTATTTGCTAAAACATTAAGAGTTGTCATCTTGCCAGAAAAAAATAGTGTAGTCCTACCTGTTCAGGTGTATTTCAAAGAAACAAGATTAGTAATCAGTAGGAAAAATTTCCAGGGAATTTCACTTTATATTCAAAGTTTCAATATGTCCATGCACTCTGTCATTGAAGAGGAGGTTCCACTAACCCAATAGGGAGAGCAAAATGAGACGGTGACAAGGCTGATCAAATGTGGATGACAGCTTTGCTAAGGGATCTCGGCACCGGGCGGGCTGGTGTCTTCTCCATGCTCAAGCTTAATGGTAAGACTGGGTTGATTCAGCCAGGCTGTCTGGAGGGAAGATGTTCTTCCTGCCAACTGTGAAGCATGGACCCATCTGGGGGGCTTAGGAAATCAGCTTGAAAAGTTCAGCAGAATCCACATATTGTTCCTGGGAATTGTAAAACTATACATCTGACCATTTCAAGGAATTTCTAGAAGCCTTTGGATACTTGGGGAGCCAGACAGCTCATTCAAAAAATACAGTTTTCTTCTGATCAAACGTATCATCTAGGTAAACATATTAATATTTTATAGCAGATGTTAGTTGTCAGATGTCTTCTATTCATTTTTAATTCCAAGAGCAATTTTTCTTCACAATTCATAGGCTTTCTGTGTTTATGACTTTCTAAGACCCTATGTGATATAAAATAGAGACTGTTGCTGGTTAAGTATTTCCTATTGTGATACTGCAATAATTCATCCTCTAGGAAGAAAGTAATTGTGGGAGATGCACGATGTTGGTGTCTCCAAATTGTTTCAAGTTTGGCTCTGTCATAGTTCATCTTAGTGAATTTTCAAGGTCCCCGGAGGGGTTATTAGATTTGTTGCAGAAATACAGTTGGACTGATTGGGGAAAACTTAACAATTACGACATGCTGGATCCTGTAGGAAATTTTCTATAAAACATCTTCTGATGAAAATTGTATAGACACAAGTGGGACAAGCTTGAGCATCTGTTTTGTAAATAAATTTAAATAAACACATATAGACACACTTTACTTGCAGCTACTTTGTATTGAGATAAAACAAGAGGAAAAGGTTCAAAACCTGTTTCTAACATCTTGATCGTCATTGACACCCTGAGAGAGAAGTTGGTGCAACTTTTTAAACTTTTTTTTTTTACACGTACCTCTGGAACCTGAAAAAGTTTTTGAAAATGTTCGTAGATTCTCCTGAGCTGTAAGGATATTTACACTGAAGTTGATTCGAGTTCATCTTTTATTTATATGTGTTTTTTCCTCCATATAATTTATTTATGTTGATAAAAATATTTTCCTGGAGTGCTGAGATTTACCAGGTGTAAATGTTATGGATGCTGGGAGTATAAAATTGCCTAGTGCAGATGTTAGAGAGAGGAGCTGAAGGATAAGAGCCACTAAAACTCAAGGCACAGCTGCTGCTGACAGAGGCTGGTAGTGCTACAAAACTACATGGTATTTGCAGATGTTGAGAGCTAAATGCTGTTTTTTCTGCTTATTGTCTTCTTCAGTTGCACATATCAAGATGATACAGGTATTTTAAGGGAACATTTTAAATATTTCAGGTATTGTCAGATCTTTCACTTTGGGTTTTAGGTTTTTGTCCTTATTTGAAAGCCTGATTTTGGTTTGTGATGAGGATAGCTGTGAGGTGTCAAGAAAGGTTGCTGTATCAACCTTTCTGGCAAAGGAAACTGGAGAAAAATAAAATAAAAAAGTATTATCCTAGCATGACTGACCCTATACAAGCTGAGCTCAACTTTTTCATTGGAGATTTTAGTTTTTGCGGCTTTACTGTTTTTCCCAGTTGTGGTGAAGTTTATCCATGGAGAAAATTGGTTATGAGGAGAGAATAGAAAAAATGAAGAGAGAAGGCTATGAGGAGAAAAAAAATGAGCAGTTTTCTGATTAAATTTTTGGAGAAGTTGTGACTGAGGTGATACTTCAACGGCATTGAGATAGGCAATAAAAAAGTGACTCCAGGGAACTTCAAAATCTTGCCCAGTCCTAAGTCTTGCTTAAAATATTTTCATGAAAACTTAAGGATATTAGACGAACTGTTGTTACTCCTTTCAGTGACTTTTTCTTATTTGCCCATATAGTGTTTCACTATACAAAGATTTATTTGCATTGCCAAAAAAATACTGAATGTTTAACCCTGCCACATTTCCTAATCACATGAAAGCAAACCAAGCCTAGATATTTTAAATTGCATTTTAAGCCTTAGGTCATGTCTTATAACGTTCCAGGAGGATTACGGTATTAATGTGTCTCACTTAATTGCCTAAATATCTGTTTGTGATGCAAGTGACCATTAACATATACATCTTGCTTTGCTTTCACTGTCATCTTTCAAGGGTTTGGCTTCATCCTATGGCACATATTCAGCACAAGAAAGATAAACCTTGATTTGTTGAATGAACTGATTTTTTCCTCATTTCACTGCTGAGTAAGGAATTTTGGGTCAAAAAGATACCCTGGTGATTAGCACATCTTAATATTGAAAATTACAGCCTGGCTTGTTAAAAATCCTAATGCAATTTCCATGCAGGAGCAAAGGGGTCTTTGCCTTCTCTTCCTCATTGTTCTCATTGCTTTCCCTGTGCTGTGTAACTGATTTCCTAGGTATCATTTAAAATATTACAAATTAAACAAAGTGGAAAACTCGTGGAATTTGTGTGGGCAGAGGATATTTCTAGAGCAGTGATGACTGTAATTATGCAAAAGGCCATGCTGGAAAAGCCCATTACAGCAAGCAGCTCTAGATTCAAGCCAGTATAAATAGCTCTCCCAACTGTGACCTCTTGCCTCATATTTATTACAATAATGGGTAAAATATGGATTTTTTCCGGCTGCTATTCATAAAGCAAGAAAATTAAGCCTCCTTTTGTTCTTCTGGAAGTTGTGTCCCCACTTGCCGTGTGCACACGGGGCACCTTGCTTAGGGTCAGGCATCTCCTGATGCAGCAGGACACTTAAGTACCTACTTAAGACTGTATGACGTGTTTAAGCTGCTTGAGCAAAGCGTGGTCCAAACAGTTTCATTGCGCTTGAGGCCAAAGGGAGAGCAAAGTCACCCTGGTTAACCTTATACGTCACAGGATATTGCATTTCCCACAGCTGCCCTCCACTCAACCCAAATACATCAGGTCAATGAATTCTGCTCATTGCTGTATTTTCACAAACAGCTGGGGTTTGGAGCTTTTCGGTCAGTAGGATTTTCATCTGTGGCTCTTTATCCTATATAATGTCATGTGATCTGAAACCAAGTGATTTAGGGGGAAAAATGCAATGATCTGCAAACTGTTACCTTTATTAACGTGCCCTGTATTTTCCTCATCTGCTGAATAGCATTAATTCTGATTCATCCTACAAGTCTTTGTTGAGAGAGGGCCATAATCAATATTCTGTTCTTAATGTTAAATTTATGAATTTGGTCCTAAATGGTGATTTTTTTTTCCAATTTTTTAAGCCTTTCAATTAATTTTTTTCAACTTCTTAATAGCCATTTCTGTTCTTCAGCTCTGTTTTTATTGCCTCAGGAGCGTCATGAACATATAGAAGCCGGAGGAACTGCAGGAGTTTAATTTCTGAAGCTGTGACATTAAGGCAGAGATTAGTCAAGAGATTGTAGTTTTCAGCAGTTCATCCTTTCAAATTAGCCCAACTTTTTTCTCATTTTGCAAATGGCATTTTCTTTCTTGAAAAAAGAAAACCTGTGTGTGACAGACACGTTGGGAATGATGGAAATGTATAGTATGAAAATGTGCTTTTCACCTGGAATATTTTCAGTTACAGGTGTTAACTGATTTCAGTTATTAAAATTAGTAAAAATATTCAATTTGTATTTCTTACTTAGTCTCTGATGCTGTGTAATTCTAATTCTTTTTCCGATATGTCTATGCTCTTTCTATCTCCCCTGGGACAGGGAATGGTGTTAAGGGACTGCTGAAGCTACTTGCAGCTTGTACAGAAGACAGCTCAGCACCAAGTGTATCAGACACTCCTAACATTTCACCCCACCTTACTCAGTTTAACCCAATTAAAGTCAACTTTCCTCTTAAATGTCATTAAGCAATTTGGCTTATGACAGTTTGTTTGCCTTTCTGCCCTCACTTTCTTTTCCTTCTCTGCTTCCCCTCCCCTCCCTGCCATTTTATTTCTCTCTGCTGTGTCCTTGGTTGCTGTTTCTCTTAAGATGAGAAAGCTATGATACAGAAATAAATATTATCCTTCACTTTGAAAGCAGGGAGATTTCTAGGGTTTCTGGTTGGAGGACAGGGATATGGTGGTGGCACCTCACCATCATGGGACTTACTAGCCACGTTGATAGATTTACTCTAAAACTTACATTGGAGGGAGGGAAAACTTCAGCAGTAATTGCAGGGGGTTCAGTCCCTAAAAAAGATGGATAAATAAGTTTGGATCTTCTTGGCATTCGTTATTGCATTTCCACCCCTTCTCCACCGTGTCTAAGGCCATGTTTCCCAGCAGATGCCCAGTTCTCACTCTGGTTTGGTCGGTCACAGCCATCCCCAGCAACAAGGGATGGTCCCTGGTTGCTGCTGAAGAGCCACATTGGCTTGCTTGGCTCCCAGGTGGAGACTCTTCTGCTAAAAATGCCTCTTTGTTTTTACAGCTCCTTCAAACATCTGATTGGTGGCTTAGATGACGTTTCCAATAAAGCCTATGAAGATGCAGAAGCAAAAGCAAAGTAAGTGTCTGCTTGTTGTGTTCAGCGTAAAATCTTAACCTCATTTTTGTTGATGGTACATCATTGTAATTCAAAAAAAACCTGTTTTTTACAACACAGTAGTATAAAACAGCTTAAAAAGTAGTGAATTAGGTCCTTACTCTGAATTTTCCTCTGGATGAGCCTCCTTCTGTCTCCCTGGCTCTCTCCATGAATATGGGGGGACTGGAGGGAGATGGGTCTCCTCAGGTCAGTGCCCAGATATGAGTGGTCCCAAGGTCTGTCTTAATCACAATATTTGAGTCCATAGAAATGTTGGATCTTCAAAATTTATCACAAAATAATTTTCTTGAAATATTTTAAGGTGAGAAATTACAGATCCTGGAAAGCTCAGGTAATGAAGAAAATTGTTGTTGAATATGATTCGTTTCTTTAGAGAACTCTGTCGGACATTTTCACGAAGTCAAAATGTGTTCTGAGACAAAGAATGGAGAATTCAGTTTGTCATTTTTGAATGAATACTAGAGCTACTTTGATGTGAAGCAATATATTCATCTGAAGTCCTACTATAAATATTCATTCCTTTCAGAAGTGAAATGTAGTGTATTTTAAAATATTTCCAGAAAAAAACCTCTCTTCATTCATTCTTGATCTACAATTTGTTTTTAATAGGAAAACTTTGTTCTGTCTGTACTTTGATGCTATACCAACAATATAGCTTTTGAAGAGGAACATGTTCTGATTAGAGGGATACTGAATATAAGCCAATATGATTCAAAGGCACAAGTAGTTTAAAAAAAAAATGAAGTTGCTTTATACAAAATTATTTTACTTTTCTTCTTACAAAATTATTTTACATTACTTCTGGGTTTTTTTTATTATTACCACATTAAAGAAGGGGTTAGCTGTTTTCTCAAAGTCAAATGTTCAGTGTGACTGTTAATCAGTGGTCTGCAGCCATCTAAATTTAAGATTGCTCTCAACTTATATATAGTAACTTCTCATTAAACCAGAGGGGTTTGAAATAGTGTATAACAAAGGAATTCAGCACTCCTGTGGAGAGAAAATGAGAAGCCCTAATTAGTTAGTTGATTAAAAATAACTTCTTGTTTGCTTGTTTCAGAAAGTAAATATGCATCCCAAGAAACTTAGTTTCTTGAGCAAAGCTTGCTAATATTGCAAAGTACCCACAAATTAAGCTAGTGTTTTCTTTTTTATCATCTTTGAGTGATATTTGAAATACATTTTTAATCATGTTTAATTTATTTTAAGGTACTAGAAAGCACCCCAGGGTTGCATTTGTGTTTAGAATAATATTTCCCTGCCCCAAATCAAACATGTAAGCTTTCTTCTTCAAATGCTTAAGTTCCCTAAAATTCTTGTTGACTTAATTAAAAAGGCAGGAGGCTATCAGCCTCTTTTATCATCCCAGAAAACAGGTATTTGGGGCACAGAATGCAAAGTCAAATGGACACAGTGCTATAGCAGAAGATAATTAGCTATTAGACATTATAGGTAAATATATATTATTATATATATTAACTATTAGTACCAGCTGAAAACATGGCATTTTAGTGCCAGTAGCAGCTTATGCAAAGCATTTGACAAAGTGTTAGAAAATTAACTTAATCAGTTTCAGAGAGATGGTCCTAAGTATCCCAGGCATGTGCTATTATTATTTTAGATATATTTTTTTTAGTGTTACCATTTAGATTATATTGATTTCCATCTGAACAAAAAGGAAAAAAACATTGGTAATGAAACTGAGGATTTTTGTTTGTAGTAATAACATGATGTTATTAGCACAGTAGTTTTTGTAAGGTTACACCACAACCCATTAGCACTAAGCAAAATTTGCAAATAGGACTTGCCATTCCCCATTTCATAGTCTGTCTTTTCACATCAACGATTTTAAGCTGTACTATTAATAGAGTATCTCATAATAATTTATTATCACAGGCAATGACTGTGTATGCAGATTGTATTGGAGACTTTTTCAGGATAATTTTGTGAGTTTTAGGGAAGGGCTTTCAGGATCCCTTGTGCGCTTTATAACGTGCCTTTAGGGAGGCTGCAGTTTTGGACCTATTTTGGATAAACTTCATTTTGGGAACCAGCGGGCCAATGTTGACCTTAACATTTTTGAGCTTTTATCTTCTTTATTCCTCTTCTTTTCTTATAATGCCAAATATTTCATCCCAATGGAAGGGCAAAGTGAAGGATTCTTGGTGATGGAGGAATTGTTCCCCAAAAGGAGGAATCAATTAATTTTGATAGCAACTTTTCTATCTTAAAAGTCAGAGGTCTGTGCTCGAGTCCTGTCACTCGAGACTGTAGGTGACAGTGACATTATTGCCCTTCACATATTGACATTTTGACTTTGAAAAAGCAGAAGGGATCAGTGCTGTCTGCCTGGAGAAACATGAAAAAAAAAAGGAAGGCTCCTTTGAAAGATATGGCATTTATTAGTCAAATACCATATTCAAGTTTGCTTGACTCCTTGAAAGCAAGCGCATGCCTGCAGAAAGATTAATAGAAGATGGGAAAATGGCAATGTTACTTTGAGAGTAAAGTGAGATGCATTGGAAGCTGCTGCAGAAACTTTTGTCGCTCGAGTGTTATTATTTCTATATCTCGCAAGATAAAACTCCTCTGGGAGAAAAGTCTACTTGGCAGAAATTTTAACCTGGATTACTTTTCAAGCAGCTGTTAATTAGCTCCAGCTAGTTGTCCTTCAAGGGCTTATCTTTTCTGAGGGGAAGTTTGTGAAAGGGAAGAACTCGGCATATAAAGCGCGTTCAGTTGGTGAGGCTTTACGCAAATCACGTTAAAAATTTTTTTCCCCTCTTTTTGCATCCTTGTAGCTAGCATCTCATTTTCAGTGCTTGTATGGCAGGTGGCAAAAGGCCTTTGGATGGATAGAAATTTTCTGTATACCCACATCTCACCATGTATCAGGGGATCAGGATGATCCATGCAAAGGTCAGACATTCAGCAGAAGTAATCACATAGAGTAAATACAAAGGACATCATTGTGAGATGTCATTACAGTGTCAGAGCCTGCTTTTGTTGGTGTGGTGGCCACATTGAGGGCCAAAATGTGAACAGTTTAATATTTTCTTACCAGTTGCTGTTGGTTAAGAAATATGAACTGAAATGATACATATAAAAATATTTACAAAATGGCAGCAAATATATTTCCATATAGATCTACCATATCAAGGTGATTATTAAATTCCTGTTAATTTGTAGGCTTCTGTTCAGCAAAAGCACAGGTTTAGACTACATCCGATGCAGGGTTCATGTTCCTAAGCAGGACTTGGGCCATGGCCAGGAGTTCATTGCAGAAATATCTACCAAATCAGTGGCACTGGTGGGTCTTTTTAATCTCCATGCTAGACCGTGACCCTGGGGTTACAGAGCAGGTAGTCCCAGTGCAGGGCATGACTGAGAGGATGCTAGGCAGAAGTTAGAGGGTCAGAAGATCTTTCCATGTATCCAACAGTCCTCCAAGTCTGAAAGGGCTGAACAACTTTTTGTTGAGTTTATCTCTTGGTGACCTGGTGTTTTCCCAGCTAAGCCTTGAGATATGGTTAGGGTGCTCCTAGGACCTAGGAAAATGTTCTAGCAATCAAGCTGCTGTAGACAACTGAGCTAACACTTCCTACCCTTGGGCATGATTTGAAGGAAAGAGCAAACTCTGCTCAGCTCTTGAAGGCAAAGAAAATACATATCACCATTCAAAAATAGTTCAGCTGAGCAGAGGGTCTTCCTGCACCACTAAATGAGGTGTCCCAGAGGGACCATGGCTTTAGGTATCTGCATACTGGCCGTGACGGTTGTATGTGTCTTTCTGTTCTGCATGGGCACCTTTGGATTGTGTCCTAAATGCCTGGCTCTTGGCCTGTATGGGCAGCTGAGATGCCCAACACAAGGCTGTGTCAATGCTCCGGTGGGAAGGTGCCGAGGAGTCCCTGCCAAGCAGACTTTGAAGAAAGTTGTGCTCTTCAAGAGCGTTGGCCTTCCCTCAAGAAGACATCTGTGTGTCTAGGAAAGCAAGTGTGCACCTGGGCCGCTGAAAGCAGTGGAATTCAGCAGAGTTGCTCATGTGCCCATGCTGAATCATCTTTGATGCCACTTTGTGAGTTTCCTTAAAGTCAGGTGACTATAAAAATTGTGGCTTTCATCTAAATGGAAGAACCCTTTTTTATCCTCATGATTACAGGGATTGTCTTTATAACATGAGTTTACTCCAGCACCAGAACTGATGTACTTGTTTACAACTAATACCTTACTACCCATCTAATACCTATTTTAGAGACACTTTTCCCTGGTTTTTGCAAGCTTGGGATTGGCAGTTCTGCTTAATGTCCATCCTTTGTGTTCAGTCTCTAAAGTCAGAAATCATCAATGTATCATCAGTGAGGCTATATAATTAATATTCATCCTCGCATGTATTCAGATAAGTTAATAAGTTAATAAATTAATCAACTAATGAATATTACAGTTACATCCTTACCAGAGTAAAGGCAAAGAAGAGAGGCAAACATTTAATTTGGTTCATGTTCTGAGAAAATGGGAGTTTCAGAAGAACGGTGCTTGTGTCCTGGTGTCCGACCCAGATGTGCTGGTATTTAGGGCATGAAGGAGATAGTTAAATAAGCAGGAGACCCATATAAGTATAGATTACTTCCAGAGGGAGCTGCTACTGCAGCTCTCATAAATCCAAGAGGAAACAGGTGGTTTCCACTGGAGTTGTTGGTGCCAAGTGAAGTGAGGGTTCAGCGAACATCATTAGCTCCAGGCACACAAATCCCTTGTGCTGGCATCTTGCCTGTCCAGAAAACTCCTGAAGTTAATCTTTGCACACTACTTCAACCACTAACAAGATCATCAGGTGAGGTCCCCTCTGGCTTGGTTCAACCTTTCTGTGACATGGCTGTAGCAAGTCACAGAGGCAAGGACAGCAACAAGGTGGCCCTCACCATCATGCTGGGAAAGCTGGCATCTGCCTGGGCTTT